GAAAGCATTACAAGGTAAATAGAAAGTTAAATACATCATAATAAGAACCCAACTATGCACGCAAGGTGGTGAAACCAACTAAACAAATATTCTTTCAATTGAACGCTTGTTAAAATGCTGGTGACTCTAATAATAGGGTTCTTCGTGCAACAAAAAGCAAACTTTACTTAAACATTTTCATTGAAAAAAATTCTAGTAACAAATATGGTCCGGCATCAAGTTAACTCACAGTTTTGTACAACTGAAGGTGACTGGACTCAGCCATAGTGGTGGCAAACAAGCAACAAGAGTGAATCTAAATGTCAGAAAACTTAAGTAACAAAGATGGATAAGGATAACTCACAGTAGGATAAAGCTCAAGCCAAGAGTCAAAACCCGAGAAAGAAGTATGGTCGATCTATGGCGTGGTCGATTGTGCGCATGTGTAGAACAAGCTGCTGCTGTTCAAAATGGAAGACAAAGGGTATATTTTACTAAAATGAGACGGCACTTCTTGCATGCATGGGCAGCTTCAATTTAAAAAAACACAGGGAAAATTGTTCAGTATTTTTTTCATTCAAAATAGTTAACAAAAAAAGCAAATCAAATTACCACAGTACTACACCCTTGCATTTAATTGCTTCCTCTTCAATTCTTTTATATTATTTTCTATTATTTTTGGCCATGATCCTCCTCACATTGTTCACATTTATTTAATCTGGTTTTGTTTTCATTTAAGGATTTTTTGACCAGCCTTTACATGATAACTTGTGTAAGACTTGTGTGTGCAAACATGTAATACTGAAAATTCTGATGGAAGATACAAGTCACAGCTGTCTTGTTTCAGCAAAAAACATGAAGTTAAGCTAAAATGCTATTTTACGTAACAAGTGATTTTATTCCTTTATCACTCGTATGTTCGTGTATTTTGTATGTTGTAACATTTATTATACCTATTGATTCATGGCACCCTTTTTATTGGGTTGTATACATGTATGTATACCTGCCTATCCCTTTTTGCCCTTGCAATTACTTGTATATATATATATATACTAGCCTCTGCAAAAGACATGTAATTTTGCAATGACCTCTTAGTTTTGGTTTTATATTTGTTTTATTTGTGTTAATTATTATCATGGTTTATATCCTTTGATTTGTCTCCCGTCTCTTCCCTCCATTCTACTATTTTCTGCCTCCCTTAAAAGTAACATTATTTCTTTTTGTATTACCAATAGCAATTTTTGTGAGAAACAATAAATTAATTTTTACAATTTATCATGCATGAATTAAAATGAAACATACACAAGCACTCTTTGATGGTGGGAAATTTTTAATGTGCTTCTATTGCTATTATTTATTGTTTCTTTACCTGCAAAAACATAAGAATAAAATTAACACATTGTATAACATAATTATCATTTTTAAATTTTTGTAGGTAAAGATGCATGGTCTCTAAGGCAATATCAGCAAGGCAGAAATGGAAGTTTTCTGATTAAATTATTTAATTTAGAAGTAATTGTTTTAGTATTATCAGTACTTTTTAAATTATTTTATTGATTTTTTTATCTATTTTTATTAAACTTTTAAATAATTATTTATTTTAATTATTTATTTTTTTAATTATTAACTTATTTCAATTATTAATTTATTTACCTATTTATTTATATTATTTTATTTATTTATATTCATTTATATTGATTTATTTTGATTTTATTTATTTATGTCATAATTTTATTTATCTGTTTATTTATTTTAATTATTGATATCTTTATTAAAGTAATTAATGTAACAAATGACACATTTTTTATTTATAAAAGAATTTTAAATTTATTAATAATGGTTAGCGTAGTTATTAATATTTATGAAGAGCTATACACTTCTGGAGTTCTGACACTACACTGATACTACAAATCAATAAAGGGGTGTTAAACACCTTTTGCATTAGAACAACACCAAGCTAGATCAATCCTACACACTAATAGTAAAGAGCACCCAAATTTGTTACACCCACAGGTGTATACAGACACTTCCATTACAGCTTTCAACAAAACACCTCTTTTAACAGAGCAACATCTCTTACAATTAAACAAAACCAAGCTATGTTGATTCAACACCCCAATAGTAAACAACACCCAAGTTTGTGACACGCACGAGTGTACACCAACACTTCACTTTTAACAGTGTGACTACATACAATGGGGATGGTTACTAGTTAATATTCTAAATCCTACAGGTGACGAACAAAATAAAAAATATGAATAATGAGAGAAAGTTTGAGAGTGTGAATTTGTGTTGTATTTGATAAAAAGGAAATGGAATGAATTCTTTCAATAACTTCAACTATAAGGAGCAGGCAAGACACTTAAAGATATTCTTTGCAAAGGCAGTCCTATACTGTATGACATAATAATAATTATTTTAACATTAATGTCACTGTTTTATTATTTAAGTCTTGTAAGTGCTAGTAACTCAGAGAGTGTACAATCATCTTCCTTAATACCATTCGGGACTAGCTGGCTCTTTCGGCCCAACTGTTAGAGTATGGTATGGTGAAGAGGTATTATGGCAAATATCAGAGAGAAAGAAGATTCAAACTCTTGAATTACAAGTGATGGGCATTGTCAGAGACAATAGTATTAGGCAAACCAAACAATGCAAAGAGCATTATCCATTAAGAGACAGCAGCTGATGCAGTAACTGCGAAATAATTTGATCCACTTAAGATGCATCTGCCAATATTACTAGCATAGCGTTATTCTTCTCAAAGGACCAGCTAAGTCCTTCGTGAAGGCAGCACAAAATACTGATGGCCATGACCAAGGTTGAATTGGCCTTAGGAGAATTATGATTTTCCTTGCAAGGACAACTCTATACAATCTCTTGATATTTGTATCAATATTAGGCCACCATGTACTCGATTGTACTTTAGCCTTTATTTCAGGGATGCGAAAATGACTTTCATGTAATTTATGAAGTAATTGTTGGCGAAATTTTTCATGTATAAAAACTTAAGAAGCCCAGACATACACCCATCTTGCAGAGATAACTCATGTTGTCTATGCTAGGAAGGCTTAAGTGAGTCATTAGGATAGCTGATGCTTGACTTGATATAGGCTTTTGACCACTTAGAAAAGACATTAGAGTCAGTTATTAAGGAAAAATGATGACCGTGCAAGTAAAAATGACATTTCCCAAAGCCATAAACACATGCCAGACTCTCCTTTTCTACTTGAATATACTTTCTTTCAGTACCATCAATCTCAGATTGGTTGTCCACTTGTCTGCACACACTATTCTGCAAGTGGGTTTGGGTATGCATTCATTGTGACAACTTCTAAAAAATGCCCAGTCCACTTTTCATTAACCTTCATCAAAGACTTGTTTGGATCCTCTTCCACAAGGATTTTACCAAATGGCAAATTTCTGACTCTATCGTTGTATGCTACAAAACTGTTCAGAGATTTACTAGATTGTATCAGCTTAATGGAGATGTTCATCGTGTATCTTAAGGTCACAGCACACACAGAATACTTGATGCTAGGGGAGAGATAATACTAGTTCAAAAAAACTGAATGCACCTCAAGCCTAATTGGGTGAACTAGAATTGGAACTACTGAGTCATGGTATAAGTGTTAGCATTAGGACTAATTGTCTTACCCTAAGGAGGCTTAGCTTGACAAGGAAAAAGAACATGTTGTATTAAATCAATCTGGAAAATAGCACTAATTGTTCATGAATGAAATTAGTCACATTCATCCTGATATGGCAGTGTGGGTTGATGAAACTGGGTCCAATGGGCGTGAGTCCTTCTAAAGGTTTTGGATATCACTTAAGGGAATGTCATGTCAATTACACATTACAACACTGGCTTCACTTTTGCAACATGATCAACC